AGCATGTTCTGTTCTAGTCGCGATACAAAAATAATCTCTCTATTACAACTAACAACGATTAACGAATCAAAACATTTTCAATCACTGCCATTTTGATCCGAATTACCCCAACTGACTCTACTTATTAAAATGGAACTCAACTGACGGGTATATCTTTTGGTGACGTACTTCTCCTAAGATCTTACCGAAGCACCTGACGTGCCGCAGTCGTTGCTACCGACGCGGAAGGGATACTACGCACATATCACTTTCTCCGATTTCTTGAGTTATAAATATCACTAGTAACGCTCGTCGAGGCAGACTCGCTATGCCCTCGACTGAACCACTGACTAAAAATAAAATAGTCTTATGTGCGTTTTATGCAAAAAAAAGACAGAAGTATAACCGTTGAAAGAGTCCCCAAAGACTGATCTTCATTCGCCTCACAGTCTTCAAAAGAGTCAAAGGACTACTTGTGTTGCTTTTAATTATTCTATATTCCTGACTGACAATCACTCTTCACAGGAAGCAGAAGTTCGCTATAAATGACTATTATGGATTTGCACCTTTAAACATGTCCTCCTTTTTCTAAACGAAAGATAATTTCGGTAAAACCAAACGAGACTCTATATATTTCGCATTCAACCGTCTCGGATTGTTGATACTTTGGTAACTGGCTAGATTACCAGGCGCAGCTCGTTGTTCGTCGGCGCCCCACAGGGGCGCCACTCACAACTCGCCGCTCCAAAGCTGTCCCTATCTATCATATAATTACCCGTGTGCTACTAAAAAGTATCGAAAATTAATTAGCATTCTATCAATATCTTATAGATAAAATTATCCGCGTCCAAACATTTGAGGCTATCCCCTTAATTAAAAGGCTTAAAGGCCTACAAAAACTTTCAATATATCGAAGGTCAGCATTTAAGATTGCTCTCCAGTATGTAACTTGTGAATGAATGTATTTTTGGATTACTGGCCTTTAGTATGCGACAGTCAACCGAGCGTGTTTTTGCTTTTTCGTAATCGACTGTTCTATGTAGCTCTCCTCTCAGATGCGGTTGAAATGTTTTCTTCATTTCTGTCACATCCCTGCACCTTCACCCGTTATCCAGCCAACCTCGAGCGTCAGGATCCCTCCCAAACGATGTTTTATGAAGTTTTGAGCATTTTCAAAAAAATGTTTTTTTGACCTTTGACCTTTGACCCTGACACAGACAGACAGACAGACAAACAAACAAACGAACTTTTTTTTTATATGACCCTCCTTTCAGTCGAGGGAACAAGTAGCGCTCATCCCTTGAATTCGCTGACCCTTTTCTGAAAGAATTTAAAAAGTAGTAGATAAAAACTCACTTGGATTTCAATCTAAGCGACTTCGAGTTGCAGTCATATTTATGCATATTATTTCCTTTTAATCCTTTTCTACTTTATTCATGAGAAATTACTTTGAATCCATCTGTTCAAAGATATAAGCAAAGCGAACAATGATTGTAAACATTTATTCATCGACTCTCTGCCGACTATTCAAAATAAAAAATTGATTTACTTCCGCTTAGGGGCGCATTCAATTGAGCGACAATCAGGTGACCGACACATTCTTTGGTCGACAGCGTGTTTGACCGGCAAATCATTTAGCCGACACAGTCTTGAAGTAAAAAGAATTCAAATTTCTCGAAAATAAGGGTGGGTGAGGGTGTGTCAGGGCAAGGGTGATGAACTCAAACGTTTTCTCTCCGTTTAGTTATCATCACGTGTCTCATTGCTCAGTGATTATTCCTGATGATATTGTCTCACCTTTTCTCTGTCTGTGATTATCTTGTGTCTCCTCTGGATCTCTCTCTCACTGTCCAGGGTTTATCTCATTGTTGCGAGCAATATCATGAGAATCTCTTTGTCTATCTGTTACTGCATGTCGTCGCCTATAAAAGGCAACGTTTCGATTTGTAATAGGCAGTAGCTGCGTGATATTCACTTATCCATCTGCTTGATGGACTCTATAATCTCCACCTTCTCCGGGCGCTCATTCCTTGTGTTAACGATTGTTCAATCAATTGTTTTGACTTCAAGACTCTGTCGGGTAAATGAGTTGTCGGTCAAACAGGCTGTCGATCAAATGGTGTCGACCAAAGAATGTATCGGTCGCAGGATTGTCGGTCAAGTGATCCAGATCCTTCGCTTATTTTATCTTCTCTAAGCTTCTTAAGTAAACGCCTAGTCGGTCAGCCACTCACGGCTAGCGTTCCCATGCGTACTCATTTTACTATCTTAACTTCATTTGAACGAAGATGTTATCCAGAAATGAGGTCATTTTAGAAAATCAATTCATAAGCGAAAGCTTACAAACTGTACATAGGTATATCATTCTCTGCAAACAGATTTCATTCTTCTCTTCACCACGAAGAACTTTAAAGAGCTGCCAGATATTATTTTGGAGATCAACGATTAAGTTCTACGTCCAAGAAATCTTAAAACTTACATGAAAATCTGTTCTTTAAAATATTATACTTCAAATCAACGACTGATCGCTAGTCGGCTCTCCTCTGATCGGTCACTCGCTCCTCGCTGCTAGCCGTTACATATACATTTTCGCTCTTTCATCTAATCTAGAATCACTTTCGAAACTAATCAATCCATTTCCTTTTAGTCCTTCTTAAAAAGTCACCACCTTTGTTTTATTATGGCTATCGAAAACAACACTTGACAAAGGAAACATTATTTTGACTGGCTTGCACCAGATGATATTTCTACAATCTAGCTGTCTATATAAGTGTGTGATCTCAATAATATGCTGATGACTATGGGGATCCAGCAATCGGGCACAAGTCAGCTATAAGATTTTGTTCTATATATTACTTAGGGCAATCCAAAAGTAGTGAGGGAGGCATGTTATTTTCTTAGGCAGAGACGTAAAGAAATTTCTTTTTTTACCAATAGATAGAGCGTGTTTCACTCTATTTTTCTATGCTATTTGATCATTATTAAACTGTTATCATAATAGTAAAATTTCCATAAAATCTGTTTTTGTCACATACATGCTGGTAGCATGAACAAGANACCTAGATTACCGTTCGGTCAATCCTTACTGCGTACATTAATAATTCATCCCCAATTAGCCTGAAGATAACTAATAGTTAATAATTAGTTAAAACTTATCCCAGATTCCAGTTCTTCGACCTCGATTATTTATCTACTAGTCGGTTTCTAGCTGATAAGGGTAAATTTCGATGATTTAAGAAATTCTTATTTCTGATTGGTTTGGACCAACAAACTTATACCGATTTTTAACTCGGCTATAATCCTTTCTTTCAGAAAGGGAATAACTATGAAAGCTAATCTGATTGAGAAAAGTCCGTTTAATTAGAAAGATAGCAGATATTTGAAAATCTATCTACTGCGCTTAGAAATAATGCGGCGCGATGGCCCCTTGCCCTCTACTAAATGTATTATCAGCTCTTCTGTGTTTCTGAACAGTGACAAATAAAACCTATTGCATTTAAATGATCTACCTATCTCATAATTTGTCTGTCTTTCACTCATACTCATTTCATTTGCTAAAACTCTTCTCATACAAACGCCTAGTCGTTCGTCGGCCTCCCTCCGGTCGGTCACTCACGGCTAGCCGTTCCCATGATTATCCCTACTATGCCTTTCACTTTTGATTAATTTTCGAAGTGACTGACTACGTTTCCCGTCATTCTGACTTCTAAGTTAGAGACTCGCCATGCATTTGATTATCAAAAGAAACTAGAAAGAGACTTTTATCTTATGATTTGGCTTTTAAAGAGCATCCATCATAGTGCCTGATATGCTTAAATTAGTATTTATCTAGTCGTTGTCCCTATAGGTAGTAATATAGAACTACGCTGACAGCCATACTTTTGGAGACTTACTTCCGCTAAAATTCTATCGAGAGACAGCATGTGTCGCAGCGTGAAAAAAAACTATATTAACTTCATACTATTTCTTCTGGTATCTTAAATTGCAAATATCATCATGTGAGATAGACTAAAGTCTTTTGGTGCAATTGTCTAAACAACTATCTGCGCACACATCTTATGGCAGACATGAGCAAGTCAAGTCCAAAACTGTATAAATATATCCAAGTGTTTTATGCAGTTTAGTATAAGTTTTAGGCCTAAAAGCATCAAAAATTTTTTATTAAGAATCATAGAAGAACTTATGTAGTGAACTGACGCCAAATATGGGAAGTCAACTCGATTTTGGTCTTGACTCAAACCAAGTCAAGTCCATCTTCGACTTGATTTTAAGTTAAATCGGGTGAAGTGAAGTTATTTGTGACTCGGCTTGAGCTATGACTTGAATTCGAAGATTTTTATATGTGACTTGACTTGCATCAAAAAGCTGGTGCCTTGCACGTGTCTATCTTATATGGTGACAAGCCAAGAGTATCCTTTTCCAATGTGTTCGGACGAAACGTCCTTTTCTTTTTCGTTCTTCTGATACACTCATGCAGAAAGACGAAAAACAAATGGACATTCTCGGTTGTATACCATCACACCCAGACATAGTGCTTAACCTACTATCTCCTACACAAGAATTTAGAAAAGAGAAAGGAAGAAGCCGCACCTCAACGAATAAAGAAAACCTAACAGCAGATTCGGGATCTCCGACCTCGGTTACCCTTCCGTAGACCCTTACTCGGCAACAAAAAAAATTTTATTTTCCTAATTAGTAATTACTTAATTGAGATCCCGAGAAACTGATCACGGATTCGAGTTCCTCGACCTCGATTACCCTTCGGTCAACTCTTACTCGACAACGCAGAAAATTTTCATCGGTTAATTAGCTAATTAGCCAATGAGCTAATTGGAATTTCGAGAAACTGATCACGGATTCGGGTTCCTCGACCCCGATTACCCTTCGGTCAAACCTTAAGATGGTCATCTGTGTTTCATGTATATACTATTTGAACGAAATAAAACAAACGGACGAACGAACTTTAAGTCAAATTCTGTGTGTACCCTCCTTTCAGTAGAGGGAACTTTCCGCTTGAATTCATGCAACGTGTGCTGGATTATGCTTATGATGAAGATGAATCAGGAAAACGTCGTCGAACTTGGAAACCAGTTAAACATCGATTTCGAACTCTACCAAATGAATATTATGTTAACAGATTTAAAAAATATCTAGAAAACAGTGGAACAAGACGACAAAAACTACAAGAAATCGATAAATCTGTTTATCAAAAATTAGTTTATGCATGTGAACAATATCTTCCAGTCCATGATATTGATATTCAACGTTGGGCTCTTAAAAGTGCAAGAGAAGTTGGTTGCAATGATTTTCAAGCAGCTGACAGTTGGATTCACAACTTCAAAGCTAGACATAGCATATGCTCTCGTAGAATAACAAATATCATTACTAAACGAGAAATCTTAAATGCTGATGAAATTCTTAAATCGGAAGAAGATTTCTTGAAATTATTCAAGAAGCTGTCTACAAAATATAAAGAATCAAGAATACTAAACACTGATCGAGTTGGAATTGAGAAAGAACAATATTCAAGAAGAACATTGTCCTATAAAGGAGAACGAAAAAGGTTTGGTGTAGTTAAATCCAAGCATGCAGCAACACATTCTTATACAGTGCAAGCAACAATTTTATTAGATGGACAATTAGTTGGCCCAATGTATTGACGACTACAAGAACCTGGTGGGAAAATGGGAGAGCTGGTGAAAAAGCGTTTATTTGAACCTAGTAATGTTGTTATCACATGCTCAAAATCTGGCAAATTAACATCATCATTAGTACGATATTGGTGTGAGAAATGTCTGAGCCCATCGATTGATAAAGAATGTTTACTTTTATCTGATTCCTATTCAGAACAAAATGATCCGAAACTTTATCAAGATATAAGATCACAAACAATTCAAAGAATAATGATACTAAAAAATACAACATGTGATATACAACCGTTAGACAGGTATTTCAACCGACAAATGAAAATCTTAATTAAACGTATATATCATCATGTTGCAATTGAACAAATCGATATTAATCTATGGGAAAGAAACAACATCATTAAATTAATATCTCTTGTTCATAACCAATTTTCGTCTCGTGTATTCAAAGACATGATACAATATTCCTGGTATTGCAGTGGATATACAAATATTAATCCATCTCCTTTTCAAAACGTTCTTCAGGTATGCTTTCCTCGAACTGCTCACGCCGAACAATGTCAAGAAAAACAATGTATTGAAACTGCCTTCATTATCTGTTCAAAAAGACTTTGTTTCGATCATTTTTTCGTTAAGTATCATTTTCATAAGAAGGTTTAGATAAATAAAAATAATAAACTCCATTAACCTTATTAACATATAATTATTCAAAAAAAAAATTCGTAGTACCAACAAATTTTCTATTTCTGTATATCGTTTAGAATCTCAGTTAAGTGGACAAACAGTAGGTCTATATAGCTTACTCGACATGCTTTATCATCTGGGCGAAGAAAAAAATCAATTTAAAAAGAAACATTTTTTTCATAGCAACCTGGTTTTGCAAAATCCGGGTCTCTGGAGGCCTATGGGTAAATGTCATGATGATATTTGGAATCAACATATTGACTTACCCTAGGTCCAGTATATTTAATTAAAAAATCGATTAACCAGTTGGAAAAGTTCCCTCGTTAGTGAAGTCATATATTGTTTTTTATCGTCAGGATTGGATTTCAATATTTACCCGTGTAGCGCTTATCACGTGTTCAAATGACTACGATTTACTTATTCTCCCAAACGGAAGTTCGAAAGAAGCTACCAATCATTAAGGAACACCTGTCACAGCAAAAGGAAACTTCTAACTAGAGAGGGTATATACACATGATAATGAGCGAAAACAAGTTTATTCTCATTACGAAAATACAAAGATGGAAGTACATCGAAGAAGAAATCCTAACGCTCAGCGTCCAAATGAAGAACAGCCAGCAGGTAAAACAGAATTTTTCCTAAACTACATGTTTTAGCACTTTTTTCTTTGTAGTACAAAATGATCAGCTACCAAATCTACTGCAGCATTTTTACTCCGCCGTATGGACAGCATGTGCTTGGGTTCTCGATAAAATTCGCGATTTCGCCGTTGAACTATTTACAATACTTTGGCCTTTATTGAAAAAGATCCTGATGTCGAAAATTATCAAGCTATTTGTTGTTATCATGACTATGTTGTTTACTAAAACAACTGTAGTTGCAATTCTTTGTGAAAGTCCCGTTAGTGGTTTGGGATATATAGATGATTTTTGTAAAAGTAATTCAGACGCAAATGGCACGGGAAAACAACTACCACTACAGTCAAGGATAAACGAAAGTCTTTCATTAGCAGAACGACTGGCGAATACCGATATCAGTATGAATATCAAATTGAGTAACGTGGAATTGTCGTTGAGTGATTTAAAGGGAAGAATAGCGTTCAGTGACCTGGATAAGACAGAAAAAGATCAGTTCTACCAAATGATCGAGCAAATAAAAGATTCAGCTCAAACAACCAAAAATGGAATACGTAAAATGCTGATTACGTTCAATAATGCTTTATACGGATTAGCGACTTACGCAGAAAATCTACACAAGCATCTTACAAATCAAAGATCTATTGTTTCTCGATTGATATTTCAGCCAAAACCAACTGAAGTGGCCATAATCCCAGAGCAATTTCTAAGAGATTTGGATAAACTTACAGACACGATAGGAATTGCGTACAATATGTCAGAGCATGTCAATTCAAATTTAGGTATGTAGTTTCATAGAAGTAAGTCATAGAATATCGATAGTCTCTTTACAATCGAACATATGCGAAAAATGTAAACATGACCCTCGCCATACTTTTTTTTCTAAATTTGTATTCAACTTTTAGAGGGACATTAGCCTTCAAATCGGCTATGAGAATTCCTGAAAGGTTGTTCTCAGAGTGAGGTCTTCTTTCACAGTTGATCATTTGTTATAACTCTGTTGGAAAGAATTTCTATTACCAAAATCTTCCTTCATATAGAATAGATGAGTTTTATATTTTAACTCAAAAGAGATTGCGTTAGGAAGTTTTCTAGTAACTAGTTACTTTCCATCAGAGTGTAAATCTTTGCAAGATCTCATAAGGAGAACAAAACGAATTTGTACTATTGTTGAGTAGACGAGCAAATACTAAAACATATTCTTTTAATTATTATTTCAGCAAGTCTCAATGATAAAGTTTCGAAGATGGAGATAATGGCTGGAGATCTTCGTTGCATCAGAGAAGAAAAAATAAAAGACCACGATAAAGCTGGAATGTTAGCTAAGCTGTACAGACACACACTAGGAGATGGTGATATGAATAAGATTACACATCAGAAAAACATTGCTTTCCTGGAACAGTTTACAGAATACAGACGAGAAGCACAGCGTCAAATTCAAAATGTCATTGACCAATTGGAAAAATACAAACATATCATTTTAACAACAAGAGAAACCGCTTCACGTTTGGATGCTGTACAAAAACAACCACTCGATATACATCTAGATGAGTTGAAGAATGCTATCAAGAAGTTGACCGAATATTATGAACGTTTCGATCGAAACCTAACTGAATACAATCAAATGTAAACAGATTATCGGATAAACTCTCTGCCGCTCTTCTCATTATTCGTTAAGCCTTACTGATTGAATGCTTGCTTTCTGATGTTGTTTGCTTAACGTTTAAAAAGAGTCAAATAAATGGTTCTTTAAAAAATTGGTTGCATCTGAAATAGCTGATGATAAGAACACATCAAATAGGCCCAGAGAGACCATCGAAGACTTCATACAGAAATGTTGAGTCAAACTTCAAATGATTATCATTTATTATACGAGAATTTTCATTTACGTTTACAACATTTGTATTCATCTTGTTTCCTTCTATAAATGCATTCGAAATGACCGAGAAAATCTCTATTTTGCAGATATGTAAATGGCCTTTCGGAAAACCAAATACGTTTTACGCAGTAATTCAACGGACTTTCGATCGAATCATGTTAAATAAAGCTTAGGTCGCATGAAAATATCGATGCAATACAACAACAAAAAAAACACAATAAACATGATTTTTGAATGAGATAGGCACTGAATACAGTCTTTTTTGTTTAGTATAATACACGAAAGAAACAAAAACAAATAAACTAATTGCACAATTATCATCGTTGGCGTCGTTTTCTTTCCAGAATTTGTCTTGCATCAGTAACCGATGTGGTACGATCGTCATCATCATGACTAAAATAAAATCCATAATTCAAATAAACTCACCATTTAATCATATCTTACCTTCGATTTAATCGAGATGTTTCCTCTCGTCTACCTCTTGAATTTCTCGACACTGAATCCATCGTTACCGTAAAATGCGTTTTGTTTCTTCGTCTTTGATAATCACCATCATCATCGTTCGATGAACGTCGCCGTTGTCGTTTCGATTGATGGTTATCTTCGTCGTCATCTTCCTCTTTACTCGGCGAACCCTTTTTCGGCGGAAGGACAACAGTAAATTTCACCTTTGCATCCGTTGTATTATTATCTTCAGTTGCGTTTGATACTTCTTCAACGATGCTATTCGACGTAGATTTCGGATCACTTGATTTGACTACCGTAAAATCTCGAAAACGATTTGCCTTCATCGCATTCATTGCACGTTTTTTCGATCGAGATATGAGTCCAGTCATATTACTAGAATTAAAAGGAGACGTTTGAAAAAGCGAACTCGAAAAACAGCTTGTCTCACTTATAATTTGGATTTCCATGAGTTCGATAATATTCAGATTGATTTTCTGCTCCGCGTACTTTTCGATCCTCCAACGTTGTATATCGAACATATAATTTAACCGTTGAATCTGGTTTGTCTGTTAATGGAAAGTTACCTTCTCGCCAATGGCCAGGTGGAAGTGCGATATCCGCTGAGTTATTTTCACTATCGGTCATTTCCGACGCCTTTCGTTTGGATAATCGCATAGCGTGATCATAGTTTACCGGGCGGCGATGAGATATAGACGGTCCTGGTGCACATTGTTTTGAGAGAACTTGAAGTGGAATTAATGTATCATGCCAGAAAATATTGCAAGAATGATCGCTAATCCATTCGATTCCGATAGGTTGAAATTCTTCGAAACAATTGAAAATTTCTTGTGTACTCATGTTTTTCACACCACGAACATAAAGAGATTCAGGACGAGAGATTCCACCTGGAGTTACTGATGTTCGAAAATCATCAGCAGTTAAATTTAAACTAAAATTCCAGAATATTCTGGTAAACGGACTGAAAAATGAATTGTTGGTTACCTTTGCCAAACTTCATTAGCACTTTCTTCCGTAAGTTCAATTGTCGCCAATTCATCTGCATTTGGTAATTCATAGTATTTATCGTCCTAAGTCAAATGGAAAATATTGATTTTCAGAGTAAAGGAAAAGTTTCGAAACATACGACTGGTATTGCTTCAACATGATGACTGTTAGGTCCATCTCGAATATAAACTTTCATTTTCTAAACGAATTCAAGTTAATAGATTTCAGTTGACACAAATCGAACAAACCTCAATGACAAGTAATGATGGTACTTCTTCCCTTTTCTTTGTTTCTTCTTTTTCCTCGGATTGTTCAGCAACATCTGTCGGTACTTGTAGCAATTGTTGTTCTTCTTCCAGATTCAAATTCGTTTCATCCGTGTCCATCAACTGTATCTCATCGTTATCATAGGCGTCTAATTGAGGATTAGCAAGAATATCTGCCGACATATTACTGATTTATCTGAAATAAATAAATGAATACAATCAAAAACAAAATCACCATTTCAAACTAAAACCATTCGATGAAGACTTTTCAATCGCACGATAATTCGTATATAACGGAATGGAACTCTCTTCATCAATTCTCAAGTCTAATGGCTGATCTAAATGTGGTAATGATTCGTATGTACGTCGAACATCATCAAGAGTGACATCGGTACTGCGGATTTGTCCACCACCATTGACACATCCTGACGGACATGCCATAATTTCGACAAAATCGTATTCGCATTTATTTCGTTTCAGTTTTTGAACAATGTTCTGGATGTTTCGAAAGCCATACGCGTAAGCAAAACGAAGTTGAACTTGCCCATCGACTGTTAGAACTGTTTCACGGAAATCTTGATTACTAAAAACAAGACAAAGGTAGATCAATAGTTTTAGATTTTAAACACTTACCGTGTGACTTTAAATTCTAATGGTCTATCGTCCATGTCAATATGAAATAAGTCTTTCGCAGCTGAACGAAAAACATAATCAAGATAACCACCTGATCCGCTACCACGATGTGTAAGAATCATTTGATCATTCTCATCTTTCATTGTATACCTATTCAAACCAAATAAGAAAAGGAAGCAAAGGATAACCCACTCACGGTTTATCATAATCAAGTTCTGATGAAAATTCCGGATCAAACTGTTCTTCCACCAACCATTTCTCGAATTCACCTGGAAAATAGAACATGCAAAACTCTCATTCAATGCAAATGGAATCCTACCAGTCGATATAACACAATCAATATCGTATTGTTGTCGTTGCTCATTATAAAAGTCTTGTCGTGATGCTTCAAGTTTTTTATCATAACAAGGTTGAACTGATATGTGATAAATATTTTCATTTGGATTATTTTTTACCAGTGAACCGAGAATTTGTTGTGGAGATTTAACTCGACTGATGTACGGAATGATGTATTCGCCTTGAGTTTTCTCAGCATAACATATCCAACCTGGACATTCGGAAGTGAGTAAAGGCAGATTTTGACGATTATTTCGAAATCTTTGTAAAAATTCGTTTTTGATTTCAATCAGAGCCAAATTTCTTGCATAGGCAACATCATAAACATGATCAATTCCTAATCTACGCAGTCATAATGAAGGTAAATTACAAAATTAAGTAAAATATTCGTACTTCGTTTTCAGGAACGATGTTACACGTCGAGCACAGGTCAATCCGTCTAGTTTGTATCTAACTGCCAGCGATGACAGACTTTGCGGTGAAATGGAAAGTACAATTTGTTTTTTATTCGGATCCTAAACAAACAGGACAATGATGAAAATCTATATTAGAACTGAAAACATACATTTTTATCGAGCGATTGAATAAGTTTAATTGTACGTTGTGCTTCACGATAATCCTGCTGATCAATAAGGATACTTTCAGCTGATGTGATACATCCACTACATGCTAAACAATCATTCAATGTGATTTTTGCTACTTTTGGTGTCGATTCTGCTTCAGTTTTCTATAAGCAGGTCAACAATCAATGAATGAAATCGAAAGACAAGATACGATGTTTACATTGGATTTCTTTGTGCGCAATTTGATTAAACCATCATCCGAATTATCTGCAATCTTTGTTTGCATCGGTATTATACATTGCTAAAAAGATCGATGTACAAAAAAATGAAAAGCTTGAATAAACCATAAAGAAAATACTTGTGAGGGTCCAATAAAATCATCTAGATCAGTTAATTGAAGAGCACCAGAAAAGTTTTTCGTAATCATGACTGACTAATAATGAAATATTTCAATTAAGTACGATGTGACTGACAGACAACGAGTATTCTTCGCACTCCATTCACGATTGGTGAACGTAACATTGATTGTAGATGGCGCACTTGACAAAACGTGAAAAATTTGTTCTCATAGTTGAGAAAAGTAAAGGTTGAATTTATATTTCAAAAGTTATAAAAGAGTTTAGATATATATGAAGAAGCAAAAAAGTTTTCGTGAAGATTATTTGGGATTTGATTTAGGTTTCTTTGCTGGTGTCTTTGTTGTGGGTGGTGGAGCAGTTGGCGGAGCATCCAAATTTTTGGGTAAATCTCGAACAGGATCTCGAAAAATCATCCATTTTTCTCTTGGAACATCTTTGAATGCTTTGAGAAAACGATCGTCATCATCTTTCTCGTTTTTAACAGCACGAATGAAAATGCGACGAACACGTTTAGGATACATTCTTGCGACATTACCATAAATCTCCGGATCTCGTTCGCCCGAATCTCCAACTAATACTAATTGACGTAAACTATTGAACACAAAATAACGTAAATGGTTGATTTTATGCATTTTGGTATCTAAATTCAATGTCATCCACAAGGGTGTACTTATCAAAGTCGAAAAAGTCACTTACCAACAGAGTGAACGAAATTGTAAATTGATGTCGAAGCCCAACGAAAGTGTCTGTGAAATCCAGAATCATTACAAAAGTGATCGAGTAGATGTTCTTACCGCATATGAAAAGTTCCATCAGGAAACTTGTGATCATCAATGAAATCCTTCGTAACTGTATACAATTGATCTGGCATGGCACTTAGATAATGAAATGAGCAATTGTATCTGTTTTGCCATCCTCGATAAACTTCCGGCATTCCTTTTATCAAACGAAAGTATCGATATTAGAGTCGTGGATAAAGAAAGTATCATTTTACCTTCAACAACACGAAATCCATGAATGAATGTATTTGCGACTAACCGAACTTTATCTAAAACTTCACTAATTTTAATCGTATCGTCAATATCCGAAATGACTGACAATCCATTCCGTTCCAACAAATGAATTTTTCCTTCCCACAAGTCTGCATTATCTCCGATTGCTTTATATGTCACAATTTGATTATTTTTCGAAGCTCGTTTTAATTCTTGCACATCTTCATTCGGAATAATAAATGACGTTCGAAATTGCCCTTCACCATCTGTTTTCGTTGTGTAATTATGTTTTGTTCCGATCATAATATGAATTTTTTCATGCGTTTCATCTTGAACCATAAATGGTTTTAATCGATCACGTTGAAATGTATCATTATAATAAACAGCCTGTTCGGTACTGGCGACTAAACGCGCAATACGTTGTGCCATCGCCGATGATGATTCACCAAGAAATTTATTTTTTTTCGATGTTTGAAAACGCCAACCATGTAAATTCAAACGCCAATCTCCTTCCTTACGTTGAAATCCAACGTTAGGAAACAGCATCATTTCTTCATGATCGTAACGAGTGACATCGAGACCTAAGTTTTGTGATGCAACTTTCTTGATTTTATCCTGTAGTTTATGAATTAATTGACCTTCATTCAGATCGATCAATCCCAAGCATAAGCATAAAACGAATACCGATGAAATCGTCATCATCGTTCTAGATGCACAAATGCAAAATGATAGAAGATCTACTCAGGACATATATTCTTTCGCTATCAGATATACAGAAAATATCAGTCTGTCATATCAGCAATTAGTTTATCTAAAGGGCACTCTCGTAAAAAGACAACAAATGTAACATTGACGCATGTCATCTGCTGATTTAGATTTGTCACGTTTCCATAACTGGAATGTCGATAACCTTCGCAGTAGAAAGTCAAATAACGAACAAGCTTTTTCTTTATCTTACAAAATGAAAACATATAAAAATTCTTTTGTTGAGTAGTTTTTCACTCAATGTAACATTGAGGGTGTGGGTGAGGATATGGATAGGACTGAAAATTTATGATTGGAATGGATAAAACACATGTCTGAACTAATAAATCCCACCTTTCCTATATATCAAATGGTGCCATGCGTATTATCATTTTCGTCGTTCATTGTGATGAAAAAATAGTCATATGGTGAACGTTTTGACATAGGAATGTTCAGCTTAAAAAGTTCTACATGATTCTTTCAAGTTCAAAGGTCAAATTGGACAAAAATTTGAAGAAAGCATGTGAAAAATCAGGAAAAAGGCGACTATAGCAGGTTTTTAGTATGTTTCACGTACCCTAAAACCAATGTAGCGCGTGGAAAAAATAGCACATCTTGTAGGGCATTTTTTTCTCTATCAAATTGCCTATGTGGCTTCATTCATTCATTTCGATTTTATTACAAAATTTTCTCAAATCCAGAAAGTTTTCTCGAAACCGGAGGAGGTCGCCGAATCGACTGGCAATCTGTCATGGACATATCCTTCTTTTGTTTAGATTACTTTTTGAATAAATCCTCTTTCATGTTAATAATAATAGGCGGATAAAGCATGTTTCGCTGTGTGTAGAATCCAATTCTTTGAAAAAGACTGTGGCGAATTTGTTTTTGCAAGAAATTCAATCGTTCCTTAAAAATAAAAAGTTCGATATTGTATATGACATTAAATCCCGATTAAAACTAAAGAAATATCATTCAATTCACTTGTAATATTTGATTGTATTGAGAATATAAAGAACTTGTGATGATGTCCAATGGCAATTAAAAAATATCAACTTTGAAAATTTCACATGTTAGAAAACAATAGAAAATAGAAATATCAATATGTTTAAAATATCTATTTTTTTTCTAGTGTACAGTAGAGGATAATCATTCGAGTTGTATCACTTTATTGAGATCGTTATCATCGTCCTCACGATGAAATCAATAATAACAGGTCTTTTGTCAGCATATACAACAGAACTTGATAATAAAGTAAAAATAGATACCTAAATCAATAAATTCACCATATTTAACTATTTTCAAATGACCTAATTAGATTATTGATAAAGATAAGAAAAAATACTTACTCATCGACATGTACCTGTTCGCTTGTTTGCTCTATAAAAACCAATAATAGTTGAGAAATAGTATTAAAAAAAGAAACATACCTGAGTCATAGATGGAAGCAGATGAGTTAAAATATGTATAGATATGAAACGTATATAATAACAATGATTCAATCCTTATTCATCGTATAACTTTCATAAATTCGTTTACTATAACTAAACAAATATTGATAAGAAAATTCAAGTATATAAAAACTTTTTTTATTACCAACTTTTCTTCACACACACACAATTGAAAATATCATGGGAACGTCAATATCTACTGCAAATGGTTTCAAAGATTTTAATCAAAAACTTTATTCAACTATTAATCAAACTCAAGCTGGTGACAACATATTTCTTTCGCCATCAAGTATTGCTTTAGCTATGTCAATGTGTACTATTGGTGCTCGACATGAAACATTAAATCAAATGTTAAATACACTTGGATTCGCATCGAAAGAAGAATTAATTAAATCATCTCAACAAATTCTTCATATCTTCAATTTAGTTGATAAAGATCGGCAAATTCAACTGAAATTAGCCAATCGTCTTTATGCACAGAAAGACTATGAAATTCAAGAAGAATTTTTACAAATTATTCAAAAATCTTTTTCAGCCGATATGAAACTTGAAGATTTTACAAACAAAAACGAACAAATTGTTCGAACAATCAATGCTTGGGTTGAAGATCAAACAAATCAATTAATAAAAAATCTCCTCTCGCCAAGTGATATTCGAGCAGATATACGATTAATTCTTATTAATTGTATTTATTTCAAAGTATGAAACAAATTTTCACTAAAAAAAATATTCATTTTGTTTGTCTTTTATATTTTAGGGCATATGGATCAAACAATTTGATGAACGTGAAACTAATCATAATAGCAAATTTCATGAAATTAATGGTACGATTTCAAAAATTAGTTTAATGTATCAATATGGAAAATTTGCTTATAAAGAAAATAAATCTTTACGTATTCAAATTGTTCATATTCCGTATAAAAGTAACAATCAACATGTTCAATTTGTTTTTACAATAGTTTTACCAAATGAAAGTGTTTTATTATCAGAAATTGAAGAAAAATTTTCATCGAAAGAAAATTTATTAGAAGATGTTCTTGATCAACGAAATACAACATCACAAGATTTATTGTTATATATACCAAAATTTAAAATGGAATTTTCATGTGAGTTAAACGATGTTCTAGAGCAACTTGGAATGCGAAATGCATTTGATGAAAATAAAGCCGATTTTAATGATATTGTTAAGAAACAAAATGATGGATTTGGTTTATTTATTAGTAAAGTACAGTATATTATTTGTTAGATAAACTTTTTTTTATTTGATGATTTTAGGTTGTTCATAAAGCATTCATTGATGTTAATGAACAAGGTAAGAAACTAAGCATAGAAATGAAATGAAAAATTGTCAAGATTTTTTTATAGGAACCGAAGCGGCTGCAGCTACAGCTGTCTTACGAGTGGCAAAAGGAATAGGACGACGCAAACCACAACCAATTTTATTTCGAGCTGATCGTCCATTTTTATTCTATATTCGAGAAGTTCGACAAAATCTTACATTATTTACCGGTAAATTTCTTACTTGTGCAAATTTATCATCTTAATCTGTCGAATAATTAACATAATAACTATGTAATTCAATTAGATCATTTTTGTTTCAATTTTTTTTCAAATAGTTTATCCAATCTTTCCTAAGTTCGTTATTGAACTAGAAAACACCATCAATCGTAGTACACATTGATATATCAATCCATTGAATTTTTGATAATCAGTACTCTTGATCATTTTCACTACAATTCAAAATATTGAGTACTCGATTGTCAACACGATTTGTTAAATGATAGAGACATCTCATTTCGGTTGCAGTGGTTCCGACAGTTATATAGATCCGGAGTTTGAATTACTATCATTTTGAATCGAATAATACTAATTCTATCAGCTGCATCGAGATTGATTTGATTGAAAAATTGATGGTTTGAAGATCGGCATCGTTATTAAATGTGTAGAGTGTAGTACCAGAAAATCTATAAAATAGTGGTATTAATATGTTTGAAATATCTTTGTTTTTCCCAATGTGTATACTAGAGGGTAACCATTTTGAGTTGCATCTCTTTACGAAAAAGAATTCTCATCACATTTTTCTTGTTTCCTACAATTTATTCCCAACTTGAGATCCTTATCGTGACCCTCACCCTCAAGATGGTAATGTCCACAATGAGAATATGTTCCCCAAGTAACTTCGAAACGCAAAACAGTCGCGTTTATAAGAAAAAAAACAATCTCACATAGGTCTGTTTTTCTTTTAATTTTTGCTCCGTGTATCTTCAATTCTTTTTCATAAATCTTCATTTGCTTAGTATTATCATGTCTGTTTACAAATTCCATTAAATTTTCTCTGTTCTGATTTAAAATTTCATGAGCTGTTATAATTTGTTTATTGAAATCATATTACATTACAGCAAAGTGAGTTTTATATAATATAGTAGCTGCACTACATTGAATACCATTATCGATCTTGATAGTCATCATTTTCCTCGATATGACGACATTATGGTAAAGAATATTTCCATATGTATCAAAGTATGTCCGAAGAAAATTATTTACCTGATGAGGATATTAATCTTTGATAGTCAAACGTAGTATCATTTAGTTTCCATAACTGGAATGTCGATAACTTTCGTAGTAGAAGATCAAATAATGAACAAGCTTTTTCTTTATCTTACAAAATGAAAACATATAAAAATTCTTTTGTTGGTCTTTTTTCTTTACAATTCCATCAGTTCTCGAAAACATTCTCGAATCTTTTTCAGATCTGTTTGACAATCTTTTTCATTTACTGTTACATTGATCACTTGCCATTTGAACGAACTAGCACGTGATGTCGAAAGTGTTGCAAGAAAACGAAAGGCAACTTCAAGATTAGTTAACAAATTTTCTTCATCTGCACTACTATTGACTTCAAATTGATGGAAAGATGAATGATATAAAACAATAAGAACAGGAACTTGATAAAGTAAGGAATTATTGAGAACTTGAGAAAGTAATTGAAGATTCATATCTAATCGTTTTCGATCATGAATATTAATTATCCAAAGGAGAAGAGATGTATTTGAATAATGATATGGCCATAATGATCGAACAGATGCATGACCGCCACAGTCCCACAACGTTATTTTATGATACTGATGATGATTTAAATGATAACAACGAACGCCGATTGTTTCAACATTATAACCTACACAAGGACAAATTATACAACAGAAGAGTGACATCGATTCTTAGTTTACCCATTGTTGGTTGAGGAAATGCATCGATTTTAAGAGATGGCTGATCACAGGAAATTAATCGATGAAACAAATCTGTTTTTCCACTTCGATCCAATCCTAACATTAAAACTTTTTTCTTCGAACACAACCGTCGTTTGTTAAGACGTTTGTCTTTGCTTCGAAAGCTTCCACACGATGATAACAACGATGATTGTTCACCATTTAATAGAGTATTATTTGTTGTTTTAGATTTCATCAAACCCATGATATGTGTCAAATTCTCAAAACTCACAACTGTTAATAATCTACTACTGAGGTTTCTCATCATTTGATAGGCGCATATATATATCGAACTTTTTTTATTGATCTTGTTATTTTTACATTACGAGAAGTAAAATAGTCACTCTCCTCCACTTGACATACGGATTATTATATTGGTATTGAAGAGGAAAGAAGAAATGAAAAAAAAACGAAATCGATATAATAATCACGAAAAAACAACATTAACTCCCTTTCACTAAAACAACTTACAAGTATAATAAGGATATATCGATGTCACTATCAACAAATAGGTATTACCTTGAATTTCATACTTTGCACGCGAATCAAATCTCTTCTTTCTCTATTCAAATCCAAGATTTCATCGATTAATCCCAGAAACTCTTCCTGGTGTATAAATTCAACTGCACGAAGTAATGAAGAGCTCAGACCTTTCTCTGCATAGACTATTCTTCGCCATGGAATAGCAATCAAATCATTAAACGGTTCTGTTCAATACTACTAATCGATCGCCGACATTGATCGTGTTACATTTATCCAATGTGAAGTGCTTCTTCGCTTAAGAAATAAAAAAACGGCAAATACGTTCATGCAATCAAAGATACGATTTAGTGTATTACTACATTAACTAAGATAGACTGTTCTTCAACCGAAACAATCAACCACTCTCTGATATAACTGCTGAATTTTTTCGAACGACTGCTTTGAATCCGAACATTCTCTGACTTCTGAGAGAAGAAACCGAAAATTCTTTGAAATCAGTTAATTTCAATTAAGGCACTACACATTATTCATGTTCACAACTTGCAAATACCACCATTTATCTATCTTCTCATTTTCATCTTTCCTAACTGAATTCCACAGCTCCTTCGTTCAATCCCATATCCAACTGAAAACATTTTCCTTCATGTGTAAATTGAAATGCATTCAATAATCCACTTCGAAACAATCGAACTAACTCACCTCATGCACATCGATTCACCTCATCCTCATCATCAGATCATCGTAATTGATTTACATCACTAANTGCAAATACCACCATTTATCTATCTTCTCATTTTCATCTTTCCTAACTGAATTCCACAGCTCCTTCGTTCAATCCCATATCCAACTGAAAACATTTTCCTTCATGTGTAAATTGAAATGCATTCAATAATCCACTTCGAAACAATCGAACTAACTCACCTCATGCACATCGATTCACCTCATCCTCATCATCAGATCATCGTAATTGATTTACATCACTAATTGATTGATTACTTCTTACCTTCTCTAAGTGATTATGCATATAAATATCTTCATTCATCATCTGATGAACATCACAAGTTGAAAACATGCATTCTCTTCTCGACGATCACAACTCATCTGACATCGACGTTTCCAACGCAAGTCCAAAGTGAGATCTCAACAAAACGATATTTGAAGGAAAAGACAAATTGTTGATTGTTTTAGCGCATCCATCCAGCGAATCAGTCATATCGTCACAAGTACACCACATCAAGCGAACAAACCACGAGTGAACTTTCATTCAGTTGAATCGTTAGCTATCTCATCTTCGGTGAATACCTCTTCTTCCTTTTCCCTTCAACCACCCGGTAAGTCACCTTTTCATAAAGAAAGATCGTTGACTTCAATCAAGTCCGTGAGTAACGTGTTTGATTCCAGTTTAATCACATTTCATCTTGACGAAGCATTAACATCTATTTCTCGTTTAGATGATACTGGTTACAACTCACTGAATTCATCAGCATCGATCAATGAACATCAGTCATCGATCACAATATCGACAAGTGAAAGAAAGGTATTTCTAATGGATTCACGTGATAGACTGATTTGTTTGTGTTTAGTCACGGCGAAAGTTAAGTGACTGGCAAATCTGGCATCTTCGTCAAGTTTACTCAACAAATCGATATCCAACACCGTGTGAACAAGAACAGCTAGCTCAACAACTTCTATTGCCTTTATCGTCGATCCGTATTTGGTTTCAGAACTATCGTGCACGATCTGGAAGAAACTTGTAACTAGACTTTTCGTATTTTTCTGTCTGTAGTTGATTTATTTTTATGAGTAAAATAAATGATCTCTGGTCAAATATTAATGTTGATCTGCACGTAAAAAATGTCGAGAAGAGAAGAAGACATTACTGACTGTCAGTAACAGGATTGATTCTTGTTTGCCTTCGTAAAGCTGCTTGAATAAACCATTGACCACTGTTTAGTATAATGGCGATTGTTGCACAGATGAGAAACGTTTTCACGAAATCGCTTGCCTTGATTTCATCTTTCTTGAAGTCATATGCAGAATTGCCTATGACGCCAATAAGTACGGCGTCAATCAGGTAAATCAGATATTGTAATACTAAAAGATAAAGTTGACGAATATTTATTGATATCAAATTCTGCTAGGCTGTTTCCCGCTGAACCATAATGAAGAGCGCGAACAGTGCTATTTCTCGGATCGGCCGGTTCTTGTTTTAAACTTCAAACGAACAATGCATTTATGAATGATGGAAATCGTCGAAATCAGATTCCATTAACAATGGTTTTCTCATGTTGCGAATAAAAAATGCAGGTTAACGAAGAGGCTGCTATTTGAAATAAACTGTTTAAATATAATGAACAATCATGGATATTGATGGATTTAAAGATATGTTTTACTTCAACGATGGCTCTCGTGATACGATAGCTTGGAGTGAGTACATTTCACTGTGCATAGCTTTCTAGCTAGAATATACGCATAATTGTGCAATTACAGTGAAAGTGAGATTAATAATAGTCTCTATTGTTACGTTGTTCAAAGGAAAACGGTACTTTTAACTCATTTCTCCGCCAGCCGAGATCTTTTCATTCAGATTTGCGGATATCGCGATCATATTGAGCATTTGTACGGACTGCGTTCGTGGTCGGGTCAATATCATTGTCATCAAACAAATGTAGTCGTGAAGAATTAAGGGACGACATAAGTGGTGGCAGAGCAAATTCGGAGAAGATATTTTGTAATTTGCATGCGGTTTTATTCGTTGTTAGTAATCAATCAGAGTCGTTTTGAGAACATCAATGATATTCTCGACGTGTTTCCCTCTAGTAAAATTCATCGCCATAAACCGGAATAGATCAACAATGTGCTGAAGTTGACAAAGATAATCACCCAGGTCGAACAATCCCATACTCGGATCCCACCGGATCCCATCGGATCCAATACAGAATTTTATCGGATCCTACAGGAATTCGACGGATCCGATGAAATCCGGGTGACGGAATCGCATTGGATTCCGACGGTCTCGGATCCGATCGGATCCCACGTCGGATCTCGTCGGACCCGAAACATGGATTTCTTGGATTTTCTAAGGATCATCATAGAATATAGCTAGAAAGATCGCTCATAAAATTTGCAACAACCGACGGGATTTTTCTAGTCGGATTCCAATGCAATTCCGTTTCCAGGAATCCGATCGGATTTTG